TGAATGAGTGAAAGCGTAACCAGGGCTTCATATTAGGTTGAATTAGCAGGAATTCAAAGCTATGTTTAAACAACAGTACAATTGTAGGTCTTAGCATGCCACAAGCCTCCAAAGCTCTGATGAAAGGTATCAAATGGACATAAATTATTCAGCACGTCTTGAGGTAGGGAAAGGGGGTAGTACTGGACTCAAACCAGTAATTAAAGAGCAAGACACAACAGGGTGTGTGTTGCACAAGTGAGGCTGCATCCAGGTAGCTTGCTCATTTAAGGCAGAAGCTGGGACAGATCCGAGACCTGCTGTGGATGTTGTTGCTAGGTGGCATTGAGTTGATTCCGTCATAGCGACCACAGAAGGAATCCTGCCTGGCCCTGTGGCACCATCACAGTTGCTGCCATGCATGCTCACATTGTGGTTGCACACCGTCTGTCCTTGCCATCTCTCAGCTGAAAGATCTTAATTTTGTTGCTCTTTCAGGTTTGGTTAAAAGTTTATGAAATTAAGGTACTTTGAAAAGTTTACTTCAATCAGATGTCAATCTTGAAGTGGTATACTTAAAAGCAAAATTATTTTCAACTCAAATCTATGCAGAATTAAGCTGTGCTCTGCACTACAGAAGCTGCCAAAGTTGCTCTGGAAGATCAGCCAGAAGAAAAAGATCAAAGACTAAGCCTCCTTAGCATATGCGACCAGCCCTGGACTTCCGCATGAGAGAGAGGTGTGTACCACCAGAAGCAGAAGCTCCAGATTTATAGTGAAGCAGCCGTCAGCCAGCAGCCCAGAAGCCACCACCACAGGTCTCATCACAGACAAGCTGTTGTAGTGGAGAAAGATGACCAGTGCGCCTTGTGCTCCAAGTAATTGTTGTCTACCATCACGTCACAACTGACCCATAGATGATTGTCCAGCAGTTTTCAGTAAATCACACAGGACGACGTTGCCCATCTCTCTGTCGTGAAGCAGCTGGTGGGTTCAGACCACATGCCTCTGGTTGGCAACACGGCTCTTTACCGCTTGGCTACCAGCACTCCCTATGCAGTATTTGGTAGATGGAAATTTCAGGATGATACAAAAGCTGACATAGATATCTTTAAAAACAACACAGTAAAACAAAGTACAAGAACTTTGTATATGTCATGGATGAATTCTAAGGGATCTATGTATTGGCTAAAAAGTTTACTCAAAGTTTGTTTAATGGAATCTCACCCATAGATGATTCTGTGTACCCTAGTTTTAAATACTGTTTGCATACAAAAGGAAAAAGCTTCTCCACCTTCTCATACCCAGAGAATATGTTGGGCATATTTTCAGGAAGCAGCAGTCTTTAGAGATACCATGCAGGGAATGGTCAAGAGTCAGCAAAAGAAAGGAAGACCCTCCACACGGTGGATGGACACAGTGACTGTAGCACTGATAGCATGGTTAAGCATGGCAGAGACCACGAGGATGGTACAGGGCCAGGTTCACATCTGTTGTTCACAGGGTCGCTGTGAGCCCTAGTCAACTTGATGGCATCTAACAATACCTTTCCCTGCCTTCCACTACCATGTGGGGGCTCTTATTAGCAGAACCCCATGTAATACTGCCCTGTCTAGTATGTTCTCACCCTTGCAATAAGTGTGAGCCCCCCAGAGCTGTATGTGATGTTTCGTGTTTCTCCATGGTGGTTGGGCCTCTGCCTGGAGCCAGGAGCATTAGTATTAAGTAGATTGGCGGTTCAGCTGCTATATCAGAACCCCTGCTAACAGGGTATTCATCTAACTGTCCAGACCAGGTGTAGTGACCTCGTGGTGTCCTCCCACCTGGCTGGCCACCAACCCTGGACCAACATAAATGGACCAGCATGGGAAATCAACCCTGTGGCCACATGTCAGCAAATGAAAAGGGAACCAAAAGGGAGAGGACACTCTCTCCTTAAAGGACATGGCCCAAAGCCTGCTCAAAATCATATGCTTTTTGAAGGAGAGAGAGTAGATATTGAGCAAAATCCTTACTCCGCTTTGTATTCCATCCACATTTGCCTGTACACTTCTGCCCCTGTCCTTTAAGGCAGGCTCCTTCCCCAGTCTCACCTGATTCTTAAAGAATTGGACATAGTGATAGAGTTTACACTCGAATTCGTCAGGCCATTGGGCTAAACCAGAAAACCAGACCAGATCTACTGCATCAGGTTGGTTGCAACTCATGTGACCTGTAGGGTTTCCAGGGCTGTGAATACAGGAGGAGACTTCTTATCCTCCTTCTGCAGGGTGGCTGACGGATTGAACCTCTAACCTTTGGGTTGGCAGCCTCACGTGTAATGCGCTACTCCACCAGGGCTCCAGTTATACTGATGTAACTACATTGTCTTGGATTTTTATTCCCCTTAAGATATCAAGTAGAATTAGCTACTCTAGTTTATAGATACATAGTGAGGATTGATTTTCTAGGGAATTATGTTGAATGTCAGATACAGCATACATTAGAAGAAGGTGGATCATTGCATGTCAGACTTGTTTAATTAATAAAAGCAAAAAAATGTTTAAGTCATAAATATGTCATTTGAGATAAGCTTTTATAATCCTAGATTTTGTCTCATAGGGTTACAATAAATAAGCTTATGCATTTAGACTTAGACAAGCTTCCTTTTATCAGCCAGTCAGAACATAGCTGTTTTCCACTTTTAGGTACAGAGTCAGGACAGTATTTGTAGGGGTGCAGTTTTCCAATGGCTTAGTATTCTTACCTGACACACCCACGTGGTCTGTCCTGTACCAACTACATCACTATCCTCATGAAAAATGGGAATTCTCATCCCCAGACTGAAGATGCTCTTCCCAGTGCTGACTTGTGTTCTGTGCAGGCTGGCGTGGACAGGAAGTCCAGCCTGGCTCCATTATTGGCATGGCCACTTCCGTCTCAGAGCTGTCCTCTCCTTGTTTCTGGGATGTCCTCTCTTCATTTCTGTCAAGACGTGAGAACCCCAGCAGCCACCAACTTGGGCAGACAGGAACAGTTTCTTAGGCCAGAAAACCAGCTGGCTGAGCTGAGAGAAGGGTCTAGTCCTCAGCCTTCTACCGAAAGGCCCAAATCACTGAGCAGTAACTTCCTCAGCTCAAAAAAAAGAAATGTTTTCCTGCATGGCCTGTCTTTAGAGTTAGGTTTTTCTGTTCTCATCCGTTCTCCTCTGTTCTGTGCCTTTTTGGTCCATCATAAAATGTAATTATGGAAAACATAGAAGTTACTAGCTTTAGAATTTATAGGCTCAGGAGAAAAGTGACTTTTGTAGTAATTATTCATTGTAGAATCAGCTTTTTTATTTATTTATTGTGTGTGTGTGTGTGTGTGTGTGTGTGTGTGTGTGTGTGTGTGTACCATCAAATCGGATCTGACTGGTACAGGAGGCGATTGTTCCTCCTTCTTCAGCAGAGCATCTGGTGGATTTGAACCGCACACCTCTGGGATTGCAGTGCAGTTTTCTGCCAAGAATCAGCTTTTTTAAATAACCAAGCTACTAAAAAAAATGAGGATACTCGTGGCTTTATCTTTTCCCCAAAGTTGTGGTTAGGTTCCCTCTAATTGACTAACTACAGCTTCTACGACTCTGGACAACAGGACAGAACCTGCCTGAGCCGCACCGTCCTCACATGGCCACTGTGCTTCAATAGTGTTGTGGTCCCTGTGTCTCGCTGAAGATCTGTCTGCCTCTCTTATCAAATCAAATGCAGTCAACACAGGAGCAGCTCCTGGGCGGTGCAGACGCTTATCCCTATCTTCTTTGATGTGCGCTGAGCTTTTTGTTTCTTAGATGTTATGCTTGGCTGCTAATTAGATGGTTCCTGTCAACACAGGAAGAAAGGCCTGGCAGTCTCCTTATGAAAAATTGGCCATCAAAAACCCAGAGGACAGCAACAATAGCAAAGCTCAGCAGATCAACAAACAGTAAATGCTGGTGAGATTGTGGAAAGAGTGGAACCGTTATTCACTGCTGGTGGGAGTGTAAAGTGGCACAACCATGATGGAAGGTGGTTTTCAAAAAGTTGGAAGTAGAAATACTATTTGACCCAGCAATTCCACTACTAGGAATATACCCTAAAGAAACCAGAACCATCATCCATCCAAACAGATGTGTGCAAACCCATGTTTATTGTTCTATTATTTACAACAGCAAAGAGATGGAAGCAACCCAAGTGCCTATCAACAAACATATAGATAGAAAAACAATGGTATTTTCACAGGATGGAATACTATGCAGCTCTGAAAAAAATGAACACACAAAGCATTACACAGTATGGATGACCCTGGAGGACATTATGCTGAGTGAAATATCTCTGTCACAAAAGGACAAATACTGCATAGTGCCATTGTGATCAAGCAGGTCTGACATGGAGGGTTGGAAGAATAGGATAAGAGTGCATAGATAATAAGCATTGCATTGCAACAGATAAAGGAAAGATCTATCTAAAAGAAATACATGATTAGACATTATATGAACAACAATAACCCAAAATAAGAAGTACAATGCAAAGAGGATTAGGCAGGAGGAAGGAGGTAATTGTGCAATAATGAATAAATATTTTTTAAAAAGGTGATCTGGGGTAGGGGCAAAGGAGGAAGAGGAGTTAAAATATGCAACAATGAATGAATGAAAATCTAACTTTTATGTAACCTTTGATTAAAATTATAATTAAAATTAAAACATTTATTAATAGAAAAAACCAGTGGAGTGCAGTTCTAGCCTGACATAAAGTCTCCCTAAGGCAAAATGAACTCAAAAGGCAATGGGGTTTGGTTTTTATAAGAATAAGAAATGAAATCATATATTTGGACCAAATATCACACAATAGAAAAATTTCTTTTCTAAAACATTGAACATTTTGTGATGCCTGACTTGACCCTCTCAGGTGATATTTGGATGATAACTCTTTTAGATTCTGTGTTTCTTTGGCTTGTTTGTACAAATAAATATTCCCTGAACTTGGAGTGTCCTACATTCCTGTGCCATGTTTGTGTTTTCACAGGCCTGGCAGCTGCGATTCAGCCACCTCGTAGGCTATGGTGCCAAGTACTACTCTTACCTGATGTCTAGAGCCGTGGCTTCCATGGTTTGGAAAGAATGTTTCCTGCAGGATCCTTTTAACAGGTAATTAATTAGAGATTCATAAAGTGGTCCCTTTTTCAAGGAAGGTAGCCTCTCACCCCTTTACACATCACAGCCTAGGTGATGCTTTTCAGTTCTGCCTTCTAGGCATCCTTCTTTGTCACCTTGCTCACTGTTTCTGTTACCAAGTGATTGAGACAATGAAGCACAGCCTTTTTTTCAGCAGGGCTAATCTGCAGTGTGTGCATAGGCCTCCCTGGTCTCCAGGAAGTTCCTTCTACTCACTTAGTTAGCATCAGGGTTTCATGAAGGACCTGCAAGCAGTATAGTCCAGGAGGGCCAGCCTCAGGTCAGGACACGAGACGCCCACCCCTCCCCGGGATGGATGCAGAGCATGGCAGAGGAGGGTCTGCAGGAAAAATACCACAAAACCAAGCTTTCCGCCGTTGAATCCATTCTGACTCAAGTGACCTCTAGGACAGAGCAGAACTGCCCCAAAGCTGAATTCTTTACCCAAACAAACTGCCTCATCTTTTTCCTTCAGAGCCCTGGGGGGGTGGGGGGTGGGGCTCAAACCACTGGCCTTCAGATTAGCAGCTGAATGCCTTAAACACCTCAGCAGAACCAGGGCCTCACCAGGCCTCCGATGGGTGAAGTTAGGCAGGCCCTCCCGTGGCGCCTGACTTGGGAGCCTTCTGACTGGTCTTCCAGGAACAGGAACCAGAGGGACATAGAGTTCTGCTCTCACGAATCCTTCGCTGCAGCTTTCTTTGAAAGTAAACCACTAATTATGGTTTGGTCTAATAGCTATTTAAAGTGTTTGACCTCTACATCACACAAATAAACACAGCTCCAGATGCTCTTGGGGCCACCACACTGCTGTCACATGGTTTCAAATTCGTGTCCTAGTGTGTCATGGGGCTCCCTAGGGTTTTCACAGTGCATTGTCTCAGTATATGAAGAAACTGATGTTCAGAGAATGAGTGGCTTATTGGAGGCTTCCCAGCACCCCAAGGACCAGTCCACTGGGGAAGAGGTAATGCTGTGCATTCCCACCAGTACATGCGTCCCCTCTGTTTGCCTCCTGCTCCCTCCACGCCACCCAGCTCCTCGCACAGTCCTATTCAGATAGGTGGGAAGTCTCTTCCAAAACTGATAAGCATGTTCATTTCCAAAATCTTGGAAACTCAAATCTGATCAAACGTAATTTTGGGTTTGGTGCCCACAACGTCATTTTTGTTTTCTGCCCTTTGCAGAGAGGGAGAGATTTCATCTGCTTTTCCAGTTTTATTATTTGGCAAGACTCGAGAGCCAGCAGGGACTGCAGTAAATGAATTTCAAGGATTCCAACTCTTTAGTAGGGATAGCTATAAAATCAACAGAATGTGAACTTGTTTAAAGGAACTCTGCTTTACTAGAAAACTTCACCCTCTTAAATACGTGCACTTTCAGACACTTATGTCTTGTTTAGGTGTGTGCTCTTGCCTCCACAGGTAGTTACTGTGCTTTATATACACAAAATAATAAAGTAAGCTAGTAAAGTGCTCCCCAGACTAGACAGTCTCCAACTTCTGTAACAAGAGCCGTTTGATCCCACCCCTAGAAAATAGCCAGGTGTGGGCTGAGCTCAGAGAGAAACCCTTTAAGTTGAGGGAGCAAGTGTCCAATAACCTGGCAGGGAGGGGTCCTGAGTCATCTGGTGGGGATCCAGCGCAGTCCTCTTGCTAGCCCTGTGTCCTGAGAAGCATAGCCTTTGCACATGTTCCCTGCTCCTGGGCGTCACCATGGCGAGGATGCAAGGTCAGCGTGTTTGCAGTGCTGTGATGGCATCAGAAATTCTGACCAGAGATCACTTTCCCCAGCTGCCCAGGACTTCAGATGACAAAAAAAGTGACAGACAAACATCAGAACTGACTTCACTGATATTGTCCTAGTCAGTAGTCTTTTGCCTTTTCCATAAAATGGACAACAATCATTTGGTACAGAAGCAGAATTAGTTTGGGGAATTTTTATCCAAGACCTTCAAAGCTTACTTTCAATTATTATAATAAACCAGAAAATCCAGCCCATTACTGATGAGTTGACCCTGACTCATAGCCACCCTCCAATGGGTATCTGAGGCTATAAATCTTTACAGGATTTTCCTCCTCAGAGCACCTGGTTGATTTGAACTGCCAGCCTTACAGTTAGCAGCCTGACAGCTAACTATGCCACCAGGGCTTCCTCAGTTATTATTACATACAGTGCTCATCATAGAGTAATGTTGTTTGTTATGTGCCGTCGAGTCGCCTGAGACTCATAGCAGCCTATGTACAACAGCCCTAAACCCTGCTCTATCCTGTGCTAATCTCACTGTCTCTGACACACCTACCCCCGTTACCCCAGTCACTGAATTAGTCCATCTCATTGAGAGTCCTCCCAAGCATAACGTCCCTCTCCAAGTACTGGTCCCTCCTTGCGACATGTCCAAAGTATGTCAGACGAAGCTTCAGAATCCTTGCTTCCAAGGAGCAGCCTCGTTTAACCCTCTCCTGGAAAAACCTGTTTGTTTTCCTAGCAGTCCATGATATATTCAATACTCTTCTCCAACACCATGGCTCAAAGGCATCAATTTTCCTTCTATAGAGTTTAATGTCACAAATGTAAATATTCAGCAATAAGGAGGATTGAAAGGGAAAATGAAGTGTGACCTCTGCCTTGGCCACCAGGAGACTCTGGAGGCACATTGTCATTCCATCAAAGCTTTTGGTGTCATGGACCTTCCTCCATCAGCACCTCTTCTTTTTGCCTTATTTTGGACTCTCTCCTCTCTTTATTAAGTGCCATCTCATGTTTGGAAAGCAGAGTATGGGATAAGTGGTTTCAAATCTTACCTCAAACAAAAACCCTAAAAATTATGAAAAGATCTAATCTTTTTGTCATTTTATATTATAAACCTAATAGCCCTTTCTATAGAGAGAAGCAGAAATAGGCATCAACTTTACACTAACTTTACATACTTGCTTTTATTTATTTTACAGTTAAAAATCAGAATCAGATTTTTAGAAAGCAGAAAATAATGACAAGCAGAATTGTCTTCTCATGGCCCCGTTATTTTTGAATGTGACATCAGTGTGGCTTCACTTGGGTAAAGGAGCCCCAGGCATGTGGTGCACAACTGTTAGCAATCAGGCTGCTAACATAAAGGTTGACAGTTCAAGTCTGCCAGCTGCTCTACAGGAGAAAGATGGTTGGACTCTTCTCATAGGGATTTACAGTCTCAGAAACCCAGTGGAGCGTTGCCATGAGTTGGAATAGTCTTGACTGACAGGGGTCTGGTTTTGTTTTGTGTGTTTTTTTTTCCCACTGGGGAGCTCGGGAGGTGTTTGGTGTGGTTCAGGGGGCTGTGTGTGAGATCTATAATGTCCTCTCTGTGTCTCAGGGCCATGGGTGAGCGCTATCGCCGAGAGATGCTGGCACACGGAGGCGGCAAGGAGCCTATGCTCATGATTCAAGGTACCACTACCAGGCTGCTAACCTTACAATGATGGGGCAGGAGGGAGGGCAACAAAGCCCCCGTGCTCATGGTTCTGGGTACCACTACCCAGCCTGCTAACCGTGCTGTGACAGAGAGGGGGACAGAGCTCCCATGCTATGGTTCAGGATACCCAGCCTGCTAACCTGGCTATGATGGGGTTGGAGTCGGGCTGCAGGGTGGGGGGCGACAGAGAGCCCATGCTCATGGTTTAAGGTACCCAGCCTGCTAACCTGGCTATGATGGGGTTGGAGTCGGGCTGCAGGGTGGGGGGCGACAGAGAGCCCATGCTCATGGTTTAAGGTACCCAGCCTGCTAACCTCTGTGGTGGGGGAGTGTGGGCCAGACACAGATGTTTCACGAGTTGTGAGTTTTGTTATTCAGTTTGAGTTACATGCTTTTACTATTTGTGATAAAGAGTGTTTTCTATTTTCTCTACTTCTTACCACTCCTTTTAAGAAATAGTGTTTACTGTGCACTTTGTTCTGAGCATCTGTCATCTTTTGTCTCAAATCATATTTTAAATTTCATTTACTTGAAAGAAAATGTAAGAAATAAATTAATTCTTTCTTACTATAATTTATTTAGATGACAAGATAGAATTTTAGGTTTTAGCTTTCAAAATGTTACCAACCCTCCAATTGGAAATTATGAAAACTGTGTAAATATGTTGAATCCTAAAAAAACATGCCGTTAGATTTCTGTAGGACTCAGTATGTTTGGGGGTTTTTTTCAAAAAGACAAAAAATATGTAAATAACTTTCTTTCTTGGCTGTTGTCTTTTCTTTCTTCCCTTCCAGCCTCCAAAAGCTGAGCTATCCATTTGCTTGAAATTCCCATGGTAACATTTCATTTCAACCTATGGGAAAATAAGTCTCTTTGAGATGTCTCATTGCTTGCTTTCCAGTGTGATTTTTTTCACTGACATATTTCCATTGAAAATGTAGTTCTAAGTAGAAATGACCATCCTAATCCTGCACAAAATGTCTTCACAGATCTTCCAAGGAAGGTGGACATATTGCTCTTACTATATAAAGAATTAATATATATTATCCTTAGGTGGCACCTAACAGCAACAAAAACAGCAGTTTGATTATGTTAATCTCCACATACTCTCAATTCATTGACAGTTGAATTTGCAGGTAACCCTCTGATACAGACTTTTAACCAAATGGGTTGCCACAGTGACTGCTGCAGTGGGCTCGAGTATGTATGCTGGATGAATTTTAGTAGAGACTGCGCTGATCGCTAGATTGCTTTGAGTTGTAGGGACATAAACGATATTAAGACTTCTCATCCACCAGAATGGATGTCTCTTCATTTATTTGCCTCTTCTTTCATTTCTTTGAGTCACATTTTACGGCCTCTCATGTACACATCTTTCACGACACTGTTTATCAAATGGGAATAAACAGATTTGCCTTGATTTCCTTTTCGGATAGTTCACTGCTCCTCTGTGGAAGTTTTTTTGTCATGTGCTGACCTCACACCGGCTACTTCCCTACTCCCCTTGTTCACCACAGGGGGCTCCCTTGTAACTGAGGCCTTTGCAGGTCCTGCCTGCACACAGATATTAACTGACTTACTGGCCTGTCAAGAGGAAGAAAGAGTTGAAATCCCTTTCACTATTTGTTTGTGGCAGGTCTATTTTTCTACTGTGCTTCTGAGAATGTTGCAGCAGGCTCCGTAAAAATTCAATTCTTTATATAGGAAGCATTTTTGGACTAAGAAACTTAATATTTTCACACACTCATAAGAAGAAAGCAAGTGCGTGGTTCCACCTAAAGCGTATGAAGTATTACGATCCCAGTTAGCACCAACAATAGAGCGGTTTGTCTCTTATACTTTCATATTTTTCTTAATGTTTTCCTGCCAGGTCTCATTAATTCACATGGTTGGTTGCATGTCAGAGAAGAATGGGAACATACAAGAGCCTGTGTCTTTTGCCACTTTAGCGGGCTGGATTTGTAAGACAAGACCTGGAGTGGCTTCTCATTTTCTAATTTGAAGCTAGCATGTCCCCCCAGAATAGGAATGTCTTAGAGGATGAGTCATAACCTTAACATGAGGGCACTTGTGAGTGTAAATGGTGAGATTACTGATATTTGTGGCATAAAAAACTCTAGTTGATGCTATTCTTTTGTGAGGAAAAAAATTAAACTTCTATTTGTAATGTCTTTATATGTTTACATTATCTACTTACTAGATACAGGTCATGGTCTTTGCAATCACTTGTTATGCATCAGAGAGTTGGACAATGACCAAGGAGGATAGAAGGAGAATTGATGCCTTTGAGCTGTGGTGCTGGAGAAGAATATTGAGGGTACTATGGACTGCTAGGAAAACAAACAGGTTCATCCTGGAAATGGTTAAACCGAGCGGCTCCCTGGAGGCAAGGATTCTGAGGCTCCCTCTAACATACTTTGGACATGTTGCAAGGAGGGACAGGTCCTTGGAAAGGGACATCATGCTTGGGAGGTTGGAGGGACAGTGCAGGAGGGGAAGGCCATCTATGAGGTGAATTGATTCCGTGATTGGGGTAATTGGGATGGGTGTATTGGAGACGGTGCGATTGGCACAGGATAGAGCAGAGTTTAGGGCTGTTGTACAGGGTCGACAGCACATAACAGCAACTTAGTAGATAAATGTAGAAGTAGCCATGGAAGTGTAGTGCTTCCTGCGTGGGCTGCTAACTGAGAGGTTGACAGTTCAGCTGTTGCAGCTACTCCATGGGAGGGAGTGGGTAGTCTCCTCCTGCAGATTTGCAGCCTCAGAGACCCACAGGAGGATGCCCTGAGTTAGGATTGACACAGTATCAGCAGGTTTGTCTGAAGAAATAAGAAGAATTTTATAATAAATACCAAGAGATGAAGAATAGAACACTTACCTTCAAACTGTGGACAAACCTCCTGGACCAAATCATGGTTTCTCCACCTCCTTCCTGAGAAGTTGCCCCCGGTCAGTTCCAACTCCTGGCAGCTCTGGAGCGCAGAGCAGAACTGCTTCATGCGGCTTTCAGGGCTGTGACCTTTCGATCCTTTGCTGCCCTGACAGTCTCACGTGTTTGTAAGTGTCTAGCCCCATTATTTCAGTCACGGTGCCATTCTGTCTCATTGTGTGTCCTCCTTTTCTTTGCTGACCTGCTGACCCAGCATGGTGTCCTGTCTGAGGGACTGGTCCCTCCTGGCAATATGCCAAAAAATAGGTGCGATGGAGTGTCACCATGCTTGCCTCTAAGGAGCACCCTGGTTGCACTTCCTCCAAAAGAGATTTGTTTGTTCATTATTCAATCTTCTTCACTAATCCCACTCTCCAAAGGCATCAGTTCTGCTTTGATCTTTCTTACCATCATCCAACGTTCAGACTCATAAGAAGCAATTGAAAATACCATGGCTTGAGTAAAGCTCACCTTACTCTTTAAAGTGATGTCTTTGCTTTTTTAGCACTTTAAAGAAGTCTTCGGCAACAGATTTTCCCAATAAATTTTTTTTAGTTCAAATTACTTTAATAATTCATAGAATAAATCAAAATTATTAGTATTGGTATATTTATAATACTCTATGTAACTACCTTTCTCTTTTTAAAATTTTTCTTTTTTGTTATACTAGTTTATTTACAAAATTCGAAAAATTGCTTTTCAGACCAGTTTCTCCCAATTTTCCTCACCTCTCCACCCATCAAATTATACAAAACCATGATTAATCCTTCCCATAAATATTTGTTTATTGGCTTACAATGTTCATATACATTGTGTTTCACACTATTCTTCATTCACATTGTGTTTCATATAATCATTCTCATGCATTCTATTTTATAAGATTAATCACCATCAGACCTTGCCCATCATTGTCCTTTATTTTCACCCAGATGCTTCCTATTTCCTTCCCCATGACCCCCACCAAACTCTGCAGCCCTGTGGTTTTTCCCCTACTGATCCTCAGCCCTCTCCACCTTGAGATCCCATACATGTTTTAATAGTTATCCTTCTGTTTTTACAATAATGGTCTTATGCAGCATTTGTCCTTATGAGACTGTGTTGGTTCACTTTTGATGGTGTGTTGATTGTGAATCCAAATAAAATTAAATTATCGACAACTTCAATCTTTTTCCATCTATCATGATGCTACCTATTGATCCAGTGGTAAGGATTTTGTTTTCTTGATGTTGAGATATAGTCCATATTGAAGGCTGTAGTCTTTGGTCTTCTTCACAAAGTTGTGTCACCTGCACAGCACAGGTTGTTGATGAATCCCCGTTCAGTCCTGATGCCACATTCTTCTTCAGAGACCAGTTTCTTGAATGATTTTTTCATCATACAGATTGAGTAGGTATAAAGAAAGGATACAGCTCTGGCCTATGTATGCTGATTTTAAACCATGCAACATTCCCTGGTCAACTTCTCATGAGCACAATTAAGTGTTCTGGGATTCTCACTCTTCTCCATTTTACCCATAATTTGTTATGATCCACACAATAAAATGCCTTTACATAATTAATAAAACACAGGTAAAAGTCTTTCTGGTACTTTCAGTCAAGATCTATCTGACACCAGAAGCAATGTTCCTCATGCCATGGCCTCTTCTGAATCCAGCTTCAATTTCTGACAGTTCCCTGTTAATGTTCTGTTCTAGCCAATAATCTTCAACAAAATTTAACTTGCATGAAATATTAATATTGTTCAGTAATTTCCGCACTCTGTTGAATCACCTTTCTTGGTAATGGGAATAAATATAGATCTCTTCCAGTCAGTTGGCCAGGTAGCTGTCTTCCAGATGTGTTAGGATAGGCTAATGAGCACAAATAGAGCTATTTCTGCTAGTTGAAATATTAATTGATATTCTGTCAATTCCAAAGGCCTTACTACATTACCTGTGTCTTCAGAGCAGCTTGGACTTCTTCATTATAGTTTCATTCTTCATCATATGCAGTGTTGACAGAATTCTTTTTGATACAGTGTGTATTCCATTCATCTTCTTGGGAT